GGTTGGAAATCTGTTCTTGGTGAAGCTTTCCTCTGCCTACCTGTAATTTTCTGATATGGATGAGCAATCTTCTTCCCTTCCTTTATAGTGTTTTTCTATTGTGTTAGTTTTTCCATCATTACACTTTGTTGTAATGCCTTTTCTGTTGTCTAATTGCTACAACAGGCAAGCCATGCTTGAGGATGTGCCTTGCCACCAAGATTGAAATTGGTTCTTTTGGTCTGGGACGTGAAAATGAAGTAAGCATGAAAGGAAGAGCCAGCTTTCCCTGCAAAGGATGTTGCTGTGGAAAGACGAGGTGGCAGATTGAGTGATGCAGTGAATGGATGACAAGGCAGCAGTTCAGCTGTGGTTCTGGCTGGACCTGGCCATGGAAAGGCACTCTGCAGGTTCTGCTCTATGCAGAGCACAGCAATGTGGAGATAAGGAAACCACAGCTGTGGTACATCACTGCTGTGAGCTGCCATTTTCTAGCTCCTGGCTGGCCCTGGTCATTATCCTCCCTTGCCCTGGGTTTTATGGTGAGATGTCCCCAGCCTGCACTGACACCATCGTTTGGAAGGTCTCAGGTTTCCTAACTGTCAGGATAAAAGAACAGCTTGAGAACGTCTGTAGGTGTGTGCTGTCTGGTAGATACTGAGGTGCCTTGTGTGAACCTAACTTAAACAAATCAAAATGTCCTGATGCTGGAAAGATCAAAATACATGGCTGTAGCATTTCTGGGTTTTCTCATTTTTATGTTAGACAAAAACCTTGTTTTTTTCCCCCTTGATTTGCCTAGAATTTGCAAATAGAGTTGGTTTGACTGCGGCAGCATGTTTTGGTGAATGTTATTTACCACTGGGGTAGAAAAGCTCTCTGGTGTAGCAATGATTGAGTGGAGAATAAAAAAGAAACATAAACATGAGAATAGGAAAAGGGGAGTTTGCAGGTGAGGTTTTGAGATGAAACAGAGGTCATAAAGGACAGAGAGGGCTACAGGAAACCTGTTCATGATGGCAGCAGGTGCAGGGGAGAGTTATCATACACTGATGTCAATCTGATGCGAAAATACCATACAAAGAAGTAGCCATGTGTAGATGATGAGAATCAGAGAGACTGAGACAAGGAATGGAAAGCAGAGAGGGCAATTTTCAGCTGGTATGGGGACTCAGGAAGTGGTTTGAGGAGGAAAGGGCACATAGGAGAGATTGTTATGACTTGCCAGGATTTCTGGTGCAGTGAGTAGTGCTGTTGTTACACAATCGCCTTCAATTGGAGAAAGGCTTTTGGTGAAAAAAGATCAAAAGTTTAAATTTACACCTCTACCCACAACAAATGCTTGCCAGCACGGAGCAGACAGTAGCATGGGGAAGGGGAAGAAGGCGCAGCTGGGGAGGAGTGTGTGGGGGGGAACAGGCAGGGCTGTTTTTCCTGGCAGCTGTGCCTTGCATATACCAGATCACTAGGAACCTGAAATGGAGAAGCAGCCAAACACTCCAACTGCCTCCTGTTTAATCTAAAATTGAAGATAGCCATGCAGTACACACCAATAAATAAGTTCTGCTGAGCGATTTCTTACAACATCCAGCTCACTTTAAACACCTGAATGCCATTTGTAAGTTATTAGGGCTTAACTGTAAGTGGGAGGTTTCTTTTTGTAAGCTCTCATCTGGTCACTTGGGTCAGGCCTTCCGTGAAGGATGCAATTTGAAAAGCATTGAAAACCAAAATCCTGTTCTCATGTGCTAATATGTGCTTCAGATGTGTGCCTGTCTCCTGTGCCTTTTTCTCCAAGTACATTTCAGTCCTCTGTGAAATCCCCCTGCAGACTCCCTTCAGGCCCTTCCTGACAGCCTGGCGCTTGAATAAGGGTGGTTATCAGAAAGCAACTCTGTTCTTAATAAAGGGACAGATTCACATCCATTCTGTCTGACAAACAGTGCTGATTATCTACCCAGCTAATTCATTACAGTCTGCTGAGTATTCTATTATGGTGTAGAATTGGATTTCTTTGTTTAAATGTACGTATTATATGAGTACGTACGAGATAAGACAAAGCCACTTCAAGCAGAAGCGTTGAAGTTTGGGTTAAATTTCAGCTTTTGGAGTAGGTTCAGAGCAGTAGGAAAACTGCTTATAAGGGTATCCTATTTGAGGATGGATTATGCCATGATTCTTTAGAATATTAGCATATCGAACTGCTGCCTTCTGGTAGCTTTGGGCAGTTTAGCTTCTCTAGATCCTCTGCTGTTCAATATCAGAGTGGTTGAAGCAAGCCTGCTGATGGTACTGGGTTATCTGCTGCAGTATGAACGAGAGCTGACTGCAAAGAAGTGCAGAAGGAACAGTCAAACAACAAATGGGGCATAAACTGAACTGCTGCCTACCACTGTGAACAATACCAGCTTCCCATTTAAGGTGAAAAGCTATGATACAACGACCACCCCTGAGAAGGAAGCTGTGGTGTACATATCAGAATGTATCAGCCAAGTGTGTGTCAGGAGACGGAGGAAAACAAATCAAATACTATGACCTTCTGGTAATGGAATGTGGAATACAGCAGGAAACACAAAGATAACACTGCTGTAGGAATCCACAGCTAACCTCATCTGGAAAAATGCAAAGAAAAGGTTTAGAGATGGGCAAAAAAGGCAATCAAAGGTATGAAGTAGTTTCTGTATAAGGCAAATCTGAATAACTCTGCACCGTGTAGTCTGGAAAAGGATCACAAGATGTGATAACACATATGAAAGGCATGAGGCATGAGCAGTTGGACAAGTATATTCCTTCCAGCATAAAAACCTGGCATCTGTAAAAGGAAGCCAGCCATAGCCAGGCCCCAAGCAAACATCAGGAGATTGTGCAATGCACAGTGCTGGAGACCTGGGGGAGTTTGCAATGAAGGGTTTGCTGAAGTGGGCTCAAAGGAAGGTTGGACTAGAAGCATGGAGGCAGTGAGACCCAAACTAACCGCTAACCAACAATCTGAACTGAGCTAAGGAAACCATAGGCTGACATTGGTCAGAGGGAGGGAGAGGCAAAGAGGAAGTGCTGTGTACACCGGCCTCATTCCTGCTCTTGAGGCCACTGCCTTGGGCTCAAGTTGGAGGCGCGTTGTGCTGGATGAGCCCTTTGTTTGCACCCGTGCAGCTGTTCTTTTATAACAAATTGATCTCTGAGTGATGGGAGCTAGTACTGATATAAGCTGACATCATCTGAATCAGCAGCAGCACAGCACATTCGAAGAAAGGAGGATGTGTGTCTATTTTTGGCTTGTGAGGCACAGCTGCCCATTATCTTCTCTCACAAGTCAGGAAGGGCACAGCCTGCAGTATGAGGTTACATCTCTCTTAGCATGTCCTGTATTAATAAATGGTCTGAAACCCAAGAACATCAGTTAGCTCTTAGCTGATAACTAAACCTAGGCTTTTCTGTAGCAATGTCTCTGAATGTCATGAAAACTTCTCAGCACATGAGGTGGCATTTTAATGTATAGAAGCACTGTACATACTTGAGGAGACATTTTTGAAGTCTAATATGGAGGAAGTCTTGAAAAATGCTTAATATGAAATTAAAACTGAAAAATGGTTAATATAGTAGATACAATGATAGCTAAGGAGAGATTCAGGTTGTATATCAGTGAAAATTTCTTCTCCCAAAGAGCAGTGAGGCAGCAGTACAGGCTGCCCAGGGAGGTGTAGATGTGGCACTGATGGACGTGGTTAGTGGGCATGGTGGGGCTGGGCTGATAACTGGACTAGAAAATTTTAGTGGTCTTTTCCAACCCTAATGATTCTATGATTCTATAATTGAAGCAGGTATTACTTTAGCAGACTTGATACAAAGCTGTTGTCGATAGACAGTCATGAGCTTCTATAAAGCTAATAATTATGGCTATCAGAAGATGTAAAACTGCCAGTTTAGGAAAACCAGTGAAAGCAAAATATGCCTGTGCTAAGGAGGAGGAGATACCTCATAAATGAGAGAGCTCAGAAATTAACTACAGCACAAAACAGGGGAGAGAGTTTTAGCACAAATTTATGCTGTTGCAGTGAAAAGTAACTTAAAGGGGAGAGCCTCAGAAAAGGTACTGTGACCTCAGCAGACAAAGAATATGAAACATTGGGTTGTGTATAAAAATGATAGCAGAACAGAACAAAATCAAGAAGTTGCGTTTGACTTTGATAGATCACAGTATTTAGGGAAGCCTTGCGAAAGTGATAGGATAAAGGGGAACGGTTTTAAATTAAAAGATGAGAGATTTAGATTACATATCAGGGGGAAATCTTTCACTGTGAGGGCAGTGAGGCCCTGGCACAGATGCCCAGAGAAGCTGTGGGTGCCCCATCCCTGAAGGTGCTTGAGGCCAAACTGGATGGGACCCTGGGCAGCCTGAGCTGGCACAGGGCAGGAGGTTGGTGCTGGGTGGACTTTAAGGTTCAGTGATTCTAAGGAAAGTAATGGAAGCTCACACACTGCAGACATTGGTGCCAAGTCTGAACTGCAGAAAGCCAATGAGCAGCGTGTTACCTTGTTGCATGCAAGCCTTGTTGAATTCAGCAACGATCTGGCACAATGCAGGGATAGGGTAGGGCTCGAGAACAGTCACATGATAGCTGTAAGACTAAAAAAAATGTGCAATGTGGATGAATCCTACAGCAAATTATTTCCTGATGGCTCGCCCGGTGCTCAGCGCCTCGTACAGCAGTACCCCCGCGTGAAATAGCGCGGGGCCTGCAGCGACCGGGGGGCACGGGGAGGAGGTCGAATGCCTCCGGGTGTGTGTAGAAGCAGCCCTTCAGCTTGCTGCAGTCGGGGCTTCGGGCCACGGCCCCCATCTTCCCCCTGGTCTAATGTAACGTCCGCGGGGCTGCCCGCGGCTCGCAGAGGGCCGGCCCGGAGGAGGGGCAGCGGGTGCCGCCGGGCGGGCCGCGCCCCGTGGCTCCGAGCCTCCGGGGGTGTGGCCGGGGCCGCCGCTTTCCGCCCCGCTCGACGCGCCCGGGGGGAGCCGCTTCGTCCCGCCGGGGGCGGGATGTGGCGGCCGCAGCCCCGTTCGGGCGGCACCGACAGGCGGCGCCGCGACGGCGGCAGCGGGAGGGAGGAGGCGGCCGGCCCAGGTGAGCGGGGCCGGGGGCTGCGGGGCGACCCAGCGCCTGCGAGGGAGTCGGGAGGAGCCCCGTGAGCGCGGCGGAGCCGTAATGGGGCCCGGGCCGTCCCGCAGCGGCTGTCTCCGAGGCCGGAGGGGCTCTGGGTGTTGCTCCCGTCCCCTTCGAGTGGGATCCGAAGTCTGGGTGGGTCGGACGGCTTTGGGACGCTCGGAGCGGGAGGGCGGTGCGGAGGAATGAGATACAAAGACTCGTTGCTTGCTTCTTAGTTTCAAGCCCGCTTTGCTTTCTTAGTTTTCACTCCCCGGAGGTTTCGTCTTGGCGAGGGTTCGCACGGCGTTGCCTAGGAAACTTTGTTATATTGCTGAAATAACACTTTTTTTCCCCCCTTCTTGCTTTAACCCCAGAATTCCTATTATTCCACCTCTGCTAGTGTGGAAGCAATTACGTTACTGCATAAATGTGTGTGATTTGTATGTGTGTGTGTGTGTATATACATACATATATGTGTTTGTGTACATAAGCGAGTGTGTGTGTGTGTATACATCTACGTAACCAACTGCTGCGAGGGAAGTAGATGCACTCGCAGAAGTCAGCAGTCTGGCATCTCCAAACTTGGTTTAAAAAGGAAGCTGCCATTTTCATGAGAAAAAGCCAAGTTCGTATTGTCAGTCCTTGCATAAATGAGCACTGAATGGCTGCGGCTGGCGGGGCAGGTGAGCTGCTCTCCCCTCTGTCACGCAGCTGTTAACCTTAACAGGACTCATCTCTGACAGAGGTGCTGGTGAAGGGCTGGAGCTGTGGGTAACAAAAAATAACTCTCCCTTCTCAAGAGAGTTCAGGAAGGAAGGCACAGCACACACCAGGCTGCCTTTCTGGCTTTTTTGGATACACAGTACTCGGAAGCAAAACTTTCTGCAAGCACTCGAGTCATCCTTGCCAATATATCAATGGAGAGCAGCTCATTCATGTTTGGGTAATCCACGCTAATCTCTGTGTACAAGTGGTTGAGTAACTTTTTGCTGTGCTTCTGAATAGTGCTTTAAGGGCCCTGTGGTGAAGTGCCTTTATAATAAAAGCTTTTTTATGTGTATTACTGAGCATATACCGGCAAGTGGTGCTGGCAATTAAAGTAGAGTTTTGAAAGAGATGCACAAAGTACCTTGAGGTCCATTATCTCTATTTTTATCCTTTTATTTTTGTTCATTTACTTGCTAATTTTCAATTGGCCTCGCAGTAACTCATGAAAATGGTAGAAAAGTGCCTCTTTATTCACTTTTGTGTAGTGTAATTTCCAAGTCTCTTTAGTTACCTTGTGTTAAGGTTCCCCCATATTATTGCTGAAATCAAAGCTGTGGTTTCTTTTGGGCAGAGATTGACAATGGTGTTACAGCCAAAGTTCTAGATGTCATTTCCTATCAATAGGATTTTTAGGCACTTTGCAAACTAAGATGGAGGGTTTTTAAATGTGTGGATCAAAAAGAAAAATAGTTGAGTTTAGAGGTTTGTGATCCCCTAGCAATGGGACCAGGGGATCTAAAGGATGTAGTCTTAATATCAAATGTACAGAATGTTTGTGGGTTCCATCTTTGTGTTTTTTCTTGCTTCCTGGTGCTATTAAACTGATCGATTTTCTGTATGGTTCTTTTAGATTGGTCAGTGAAAATAACCTATTAACATCCACTGTACTACTGACTTATACAGCAGCACAAAACTCTGAAGTGTGATCACAGGCAAGCGCTGTATTGCCACTGGCTTCCTCCCTCTTTAAATTCAGATAAATCAGCCTTTGTTCCCTTCAGCAAAATGAAGTCAAAAAGTTTGGGCCCGAGACGCTGCTTCTGGAACTGTAGTGGGGTCGTGCAAGAAAGGAGGATTTATTAGCACCAGTATGAATTAATTGTAAGGAACAGAAGGACAGAAAGCACTGCAAACAATGTTTTGTACTCACAAAAACAGAGCACCCTAAAGGTTAATTCTGACTTTGTTCACAAATTAGGCACACTTGGGTAGGTTTTTTTTTTTTTACTCAGCATAACTTGGGCCTCCCGCAGCTTCTGAACCACCTGACCTCTCAATCGAGATCTACCGGATTGTGTGGCACGCCCTGAGTGCTCATCAGGAGTTATAATTCTTTCATTTCAGTGTTTGGTTTCCCTCAGCAAACGTTCTTCCCAGTTGAATGGCAGACAGTCTGCAGCCTTTCCTGCTTTTGGGCGTAATACATATTAACAACTCCTGTGACAGCAGCTTTTCTTACTACTTTTGGAGTACCAGGCCCAAAGATAAACAGGGAGGAACCTGTGGAGTTACCATAGAGATTTCCGAGTTCATCCTTAGCGCTGTTGAGTCTCTTTCCAGAGAGCATCCCTTTCTTGCCGTGTCACTCAGATTAGGATTGAGTGTGGGCTACTCAATCCTACTCAGTGTTCTTGGAGGAAAACTGCTGCAAAACCCTTATGTGTGAGGGATGAATGTGTCCTTTGTAAATCAGCAGTCACACAGGAAAAACTTGGCCCTCTGGTACTGAACAAAGGCTACTGAGCCCATGTGAAGTTCTGTAGTATCCTTGTTTGGAGGTGTTTACTTAATTCATCGTACCATTAACAGTTTAACAGTGCAATTTGTGCTCTGTTTTTATCACGTAGGCACAGGTTGCATTAACTGCTCACCTGAAAAATGCTTTCAGGGAGAGATGTTTCTTTACCCAGTCTCCCAGTCACAGATGCTATGTAACGGGAGCTGAGATTAACTGCTGACGTTCTTTGCTAAACGTGAGTTTACCATATGAAAACTGAATCAGCAGTTACTGTCATATTTTTGACATATAAATGTGCAGTTATTTCCCTGTTTATTGATGCTGCAAATGTGAAGTGGCTTAATGACTAATCTGAAGTCTACAGACAGAATGGTGAGATCATGTGCTTGCCTGAAGTACGCTTCCTTTGTTCAGCATGACTCCTTTGGGGCATGCAGAATTTGGATTCTGTCTCTCCTTTGTGTGATGTGCCACATCTGCATGCTGTACAATAATGCAGTCTTTATCTCAGATCCTCCTTCACCTAACAGCTTCCTCTCTACACACGCATCTCTTATTATCTCAATATGATATTTAATAATAGGAACACTGTTGTCTAATGAATCAAACTGGTGGCACTTCATATTCTTTCCCATCC